ATTATAATTATAATATCATATTATTAAAATAATTATAATATTATTATAATATCATATTATATGATAAAATAATAATATTAGAGTTATTAATATAATTATGATATTATTTGTTATAATATTACTATTATATTATATTATATTACATTACGAGTATGAATTTTAGATTATGAAGATTGTAAATTTTATTAGAGGTATTATGGGTATTATGAAAGTTTCATTAATTGTACTATGTTGATTCTCGCACAATCTAAAAACTAAAGTTGTCTTTAGGCTGCTTATAATTTTGGCTGTAGATTCTTGAAAAATTATTCAAAAAACACTTTTGAAGATATTTATCAAATACTAAAATCACATTACAAACAGAAATTGATTTTAGGAGGGAAAAGCAATACCAAATTAAGCCATTATTCTGATGTGAAATTCAGTAGACACTGGTTGTCTTGTGATATTACGCTAGATTTGCGACGGGCATTGCGAGTAAAGATCGACTCCTCTATGCGTAGGGAGATATCCTTCAACGGCTATTTTATTATTATCTGTTCTTTTTACTTTTTTTAAACTTTTATACGAATTTATGTATTTTGTGAGTTTTTTGTGCTTTTTTATATATTATTTGTATTTTTTTTAATTTTTATATATTCCGGCGCATACGATAGCTAGATTGTTGCCAATACCCGTGGTTGTTGGTAGGATCCGATGGATATTTAGGCCAGATACTGGTATTATAGCTAAATACTAGTAGGTATCTGGCTGCCAGATACTGGTATTATAGCTAAATACTAGTAGGTATCTTAGCCAGATACTAGTACCGTGGCCAGTGATTTAATGTTATCTTAAGGGTATACTTGATATTCAAAATATAGTGTGACGATATGACTGTAATATTCTCAGATTATGAAGATTGTAAATTTTATTAGAGGTATTATGGGTATTATGAAAATTTCATTAATTGTACTATGTTGATTCTCGCACAATCTAAAAACTAAAGTTGTCTTTAGGCTGCTTATAATTTTGGCTGTAGATTCTTGAAAAATTATTCAAAAAACACTTTTGAAGATATTTATCAAATACTAAAATCACATTACAAACAGAAATTGATTTTAGGAGGGAAAAGCAATACCAAATTAAGCCATTATTCTGATGTGAAATTCAGTAGACACTGGTTGTCTTGTGATATTACGCTAGATTTGCGACGGGCATTGCGAGTAAAGATCGACTCCTCTATGCGTAGGGAGATATCCTTCAACGGCTATTTTATTATTATCTGTTCTTTTTACTTTTTTTAAACTTTTATACGAATTTATGTATTTTGTGAGTTTTTTGTGCTTTTTTATATATTATTTGTATTTTTTTTAATTTTTATATATTCCGGCGCATACGATAGCTAGATTGTTGCCAATACCCGTGGTTGTTGGTAGGATCCGATGGATATTTAGGCCAGATACTGGTATTATAGCTAAATACTAGTAGGTATCTGGCTGCCAGATACTGGTATTATAGCTAAATACTAGTAGGTATCTTAGCCAGATACTAGTACCATGGCCAGTGATTTAATGTTATCTTAAGGGTATACTTGATATTCAAAATATAGTGTGACGATATGACTGTAATATTATTTGTAATAGTTTATTTCACTTAACATATGTCAATCTAAGCCCAAAATATGTGGTGTTCCTGTAAAGTTCCTATATAAGAAAGTAATATGGGCCCTTTTCATGAGTTTGAGTTGAGAATTTCAATTAAAAAGTATGAAAATATTATAATAAAAAAGTTAAAATTTAAATTTTTATAAGAGAAAATACGCCCGTGTGTTATCCAGTCACATAAACAGCAATCATTTTCTACTTAAAGGGTTGCCGTTTTCCTTGTTTACATTTGTGCCGTTTGTATGAAAACGACAATTCTTTGCTTGTCAGTATAACTACACGTCATTAAGAAGGATAAACGTAGTATTGTCGTTTTTTCTGAAAGAAAAAGATAATTCGGTCTTTATGCAAAACAACACGTAAATTGTACTGCATTTAAAATCTAAACGACAAGACGCCATTAATTATCCCAAAAATTGGTGCCATCTACCTTCTACACGGCATGTCGTTGAATACGAAATGTCGTTTTCCTAAAGCCTTATAATTATACCTTATGCTCAATAAAACGACTTGTGAAGTCCACTATCCTTTGTTTATTGCTAGGAAAAGTCCACTGTCGTTGAAGATGAATCAATAATGTTCCTTATATATTCCTTCAAATTGTTAGTTTATTAATCTATCTCAAAAGCTCAAGTCATTAGAAGGTGGTTAAACAATAGTTTTATAATTTAACACCCACGTGTGAACTGAACAATAAACAATCATGTGAGTAAATTAATTAGAAAACTCAACACGTGAATACGATCAAATTAGAAAGTCCACGTAGAAATACGATCAAATTTTAAAATTTAGAAACTAAAGGCTCGTTTGGAATGAATACTCAAACCATGATTATTGATTATGATATTTAAAATTTAAATTTTTTATAAGAAAAAAATACTATAACATAATAAATAATTTAAATTTGAGTATATAAAACAAACAAATCCTAAAACTAGACTTTAGCTAAACTAATTATAAAATCAAGTACAGTATATAATTTTCATGGAACACCATGAGTGGAATTCTCTCTCTTCTTTTTTTTTTTTTTTTCCTTCTTTCTTTCTGTTTTTAATTGTATTTCCGGTTTTTCTAGGCTTATTGGAGATTGGAGACATAAAAAGAAAAAAAGAAAAAGAAAAAAAGAAGGCCTTAATTATGAGGGCGGCAACGGGTTGCCTTTAAACGAGGCAACCTTTGGCTTTCCTTCTCAATCGAGTTCGGATCCGACCCATATGACAGTACTGAACCCGGAATATCGCCCCCACGGCCCACCCCTTTCCCTCTCACTTTCTCGGAAAGGAAAACGCAAGAAAATTTTCAAGAACCCCCAGTCGTTTCTTTTGCAGTTAATGAGCCACTTCCCTCTAATCCCGCCCAATCTTCTCTCCTCCCATTTTTCTCTCTTCCTTTGGTCTCTCTCTCTCTACTCATTATTATCAGCTGCGTCTTTCTAGGGCTTCGACCTTTGTTTCCTTCCCCTATGTCGCTCGCATCTTGATTCTCGAATCTTCGATTCCCCACCCGGTACCCTAGAATTTATCGACCTAGAATTCTCTCTCCACCCCCCACTCGATGGAGGAAGAGAAGCGCCGCGGCGGCGATTCGTCGAGGGCTTCGTCGTCGTTCGTCAAGTCCGGTGACCGGCAAATGTTCACGGTGGAACTCCGGCCTGGAGAGACCACCATAGTCTCGTGGAAGAAGCTCATGAAGGACGCCAACAAGGTCGATGGCGGCTCCGCCTCCGCTCCCGAACCTCCCGCCAATGCTCACCCTCGCCTCGAGTCTCGTATCGCTCCGGTGAGACCCTCTAATCCAATGCTTATGCGTTTTGGCATTTGGATTTTGGTTGTTTTCTGTTTCTTTTATGAAGACAATTGTGATATTACGTGAGGCCACGGGAAATTGTGTGTTCATGGTTTTTGCTTTAAGCTGGACGGTGTTACTTGATGTTAAATGGACGTGGATTTCATATATTTTGGTTGGCATATGATCTTATTGTTGTTAATTTTAGTTCTATCTTCATGTGAAAGTGAAGTTTGGGAGAAAAAAAGCATTAAGAATTTGTATCTTGGAATTTACTACCAATGGCGTTTATTTGAAGGATGAGAATGAAAACGAGTCTGATGACAAATTCTGAGCGTTATCTCTTATCCTTATTGGCTGAGTTTTAGGTTGGTATGCCATTTATATGAAAAATATTCGAGTGATTGCTAAAAAAGTTGCTTCAATTTCTGGGCTTGTGTAATTGGTGGTATTGAGTTAATCTTCATGACTCTTTATCATTGATTGCGTTTCTTTGAGGATGAACATAGTTCCCTTTCCAAATTTTCATCCTAATTTTATGATTTTGCTTCACTCTAGGTACAACAGCCTGCCAATGAGGAGGTTAAAGAAGATCCTGCACCGCATCGTTTTAGTGCTGTTATTGAGAAGATTGAACGCCTTTATATGGTATGAGTTTCATTTAAAACTGCTTTGTTTCTTATTCACTTTTGATAGAAACAAATATTGACTATTATGTCTATTATGCTAGTGCTCATTGCTCAATAAATCTGTCTCAGGGTAAAGATAGCAGTGATGATGAAGATATGAATGAAATTCCCGATGACGATCAGTATGATACAGAAGACTCTTTTATTGATGATGCAGAGTTGGTTCGTCTACATATTTCTTGCACATATTTCATCATTCTATGTTCAACTTTGTGCTGCTATGATTACCAGCATCCTATTGTCACCTTTTTGTGTCTTTACAGTGTTCCTTCATTTTGTATTTGCAGGATGAATATTTTGAAGTTGATAATTCAGCCATAAAGCATGATGGATTTTTTGTTAACAGAGGAAAATTGGAACGCTTGTGGGTTTCCTTGAACCTTTCCCTTGATGTTGTAACTTGTATCTTGTTTTGAAATTTTCCTAGTCAGTTATAATTATATATCACCATTTTTTTTTGCCGTATCTTTCAATATCAAATGGAAGAAGTAATAATTTATATCTTAATCTTATGTTGTTTTGAAATTTTCCTAGTCAGTTATAATTATATATCACCATTTTTTTTTTGCCGTATCTTTCAATATCAAATGGAAGAAGTAATAATTTATATCTTAATCTTATGCCTTAACAAGCTCCGAAAATTCTTCTGGTTTCTGCCAATTTTTATTACTAATATTTCAAACACTTGAATCTTTATCATATTTTATGGTTGTGACAGTAGAATGATAGAACACAGATATTTGATGGAACAAATGAAGAATTATCCTTTTTCTTTGATATACATGCACTCATGGTTTGGAATTTTATCTGCAGTAACATTTTCTATAGTTTATGGTTTGCACTATGATAGTTCATGTAGCCATTTCCACCTCTTTAACTTCACGATTATATATGCATGCATATACAAGTAAAGTAATTTTTGTTGTGTTGAATGTTTTTTAAAAGATGTTAAAGTTCAAATAGATGGTTGTCTTAATATTGATATTTTCCCCCTTGTGCTGTTTTTTTGGTTTCTCTTCAATGAGAAGTGAAACTACTGTATTGCCTAACCAGCAACCAAAGAAAAGGAGAAGAAAGGATTTGGCAAAGGGCAATGGTGAAAATAATGACGATCGTTTGCCAAATAAACATACAAAATTAGGTAAGACGTCAGCTGCTAAGATTACATCAGCTTTTGCAAAGAACTTATCGACTTCCACTGAAACTGTAGCTGTATCTGGTGAACATAGTGAAGATCTGAAATTTGAGAACCAGTTGAATGCTTCAACATTTTTCCCTAAAAAGAAATCGTCTGAATCTAAAACTGCATTAGATCCTTCTTTTCTGAAAGTTTCAAATGGAGATACTTCTGTGGCATTAGCAGAGGTGAAGGATATTGATAAGCAAAAGGCATCTAAGGATCCAAGTAGCAAGTTTAAAGATGTGGCCGTATCTTCAGACGCTTTACATCAGAAATATCATGATAAAAGTGCTTATGCACAATCCAGACCCCAATCTGGGAAACTGTTAGGCAGTGTTGATGAGTTGGACTCGTCAGTCAGGTTAAAAGAGAAAAATGGGATTCGTGAACAGCCAGATGTTAATGCCTTTGAGGGAAAGTACTCCACTACATCAACAGTTAGTTTTCCTGTTCATAATCCCTTTGTTATTTTGCATGCCTGAATTTATTACCTTTATATGCTACACGAAATAGGTTGCCCGAATTGATGCTTAGTGTGCTCGTTTGTGTGTGTCTGTCAAGCTGTAATGAATCTTTTCCTCGGTGTTTGATCAAACCCCCAGAGAACTAGCCATGAAAGCGGTGAATTTCTATCAGACAAGTTAGAAAATGGCCTATACTAGTTGTTTCTTAGATTTTTAAAAGAAAAAAAAAATAATGGCATGTAAGCTTCAGTGATGGATTAAACTTGACGTTTTCTGAGTGCCTATTTCTTAGTCTGAATATGTCAACCTTGTATATTCAAACATGATGCCAGTTTCCCTTTTTTAATTTTTATTATGCAGAAAACTTCGCACATGCACAAAAAGGATGGTTCTAGCATAAGGCCTAAGAGTTCGATGCTTGAAAAGGCTATTAGGGAGTTAGAGAAGATGGTCGCAGAATGTAAGATTTATAGTTCTTTGACATCTAGTTCCTCTTTTGACAGTATTTGGGTTGTTTCTTCTACGCTTTGTGCATAATATATGATAATCTCATTCTCTCTCTCTCCCCCTTTTTTCTTTCTTTTTTTTTATTTTTATTTTTTTGCGCTAATTGGTATGTGTTGTATGAAATATTACAGCAAGGCCACCTGCTGTTGAAAGTCAAGAGGTGGATAATTCATCCCAGACAATTAAGAGGAGATTGCCTAGAGAAATAAAGATGAAGCTTGCTAAAGTTGCCAGACTAGCGGTACTCTAGCTAAATTGACTGAAACTACAAAAAGTTTTGGTTTTTCTGTATTTCCACTAATTTCTCACATTTCAGTAAATTTTCACATTAATAAATTAGACTTCAGACATACAGATACATATCTACTTCAAATATGTGGAGAAACTTACAACTTTTATTGGATGCAGCAGGCAAGCCACGGAAAAGTTTCAAAAGAGTTGCTTGCCCGTCTTATGAGTATTCTGGGCCACTTAATACAGCTCAGAACATTAAAGGTACAGAAGTATTAAAAATTGAGGATATATCCGGTACCGATTACTTAACTACGTTATTCTAATGCTAATTGTGTTTTACATTGCCTAAACTAATGATTTATACAGGTTACTTGTGCTTCTTATTTTGACATCTTAGTTTACTTTGACAAATAGATCTTTTGTTGGATGGGTTATTGGACAGAATAGAGGGGTTGTTCTTTATTAAGCTGTGTGATAATTTTATCTTCAAGTTGCCTAAACTAATGATTTATACAGGTTACTTGTGCCTTGTGGTTCTTATTTTGACATCTTAGTTTATTTTGACAAATGGATCTTTTGTTGGATGAGTTATTGGACAGAATGGAGGGGTTGTTCTTTATTAAGCTGTCTGTTAATTTTATCTTCAATCTTTTGTTAATTTTTTTTATTTTATCCTTGTTCTTTGTTAAGCTGTATTTCTTTTTGGTAGGAAATTTCTAGGTGATTAATTTGTTTGGACTTTTATTCTGCTGCAGAGAAATTTAAAAATTATGATTAATACGGGTTTGTCAGCAAAACAGGAGAAAGATGATAGGTTTCAACAGATAAAGAAAGAAGTTATTGACATGATTAAAACACGGGCACCCTCTATGGAGTTGAAGGTATTATTTGGAGTTTGGACAAGTTCATTGTACTGTTTGATTATCAAAATTCTCTCTATGGGTCGTAAGGAGTTTCACTCATAATCCTTTTGCACTTTGCTTTATATAGGCATTTTCTTCTGCTAAGGTACATGCTATTGTGTCTTAAATTTTCTTGATTGTCGCTGCCAGTCTTTCTTTGTTCTTATTGGGATATTTTTCCTGGTATATTCACTTGTCTCCGTTGATTTTTCAATATTTAATTACTTCATTTTTATGTTGATCATTGTCATCTAAATTCCTTCTGGAACAACACATTTTCTTATGCGTACTACTTGGCAGTGTTATCATGATTCTTTGCCATGTGGCTCTGGATAGACCTTTATTTTACTTTATAGCAATTTAGAGGTATTATGCCCCTTTGCTCCGTCCCACTATTTCTTATGTCCACATGGTTCATCTAGATTCTATTATTTGCTCCAGAGGTCATACATCTCACACGTTTTCCTTTCTCTTGATGGGCATTTTGCTTTTCCTCTTATTATTTAGACCAGATGTGTGTAATCTGTTTCTTCTCATCTGTTATGAATTGAGTCAATTGACGTTTCTTTTTTTTTCTCACAGCAAATTTGTTGGTTTTTTATTTTTAATGTTACTCAAGCTTTAAAGTAACGCTGAAAGTGGAGGATTCATCCTTTTTGATAGACATGCTGATATATATATATATATAATATTATATTATATTTTTCCCTTTCGTTTTTGTACCCTTTTTAGCATTGTACTATATCTGGAAAACAGGAACAAGAGTAACCTTTTACTACCACCGGTTGTTTCCGAGCCAAAAAAAAAAAAAAAAATTGAAATGCATAATCTATCTTTTCAGGCACTGGAGCTACAAGCTGGAGCATCAGATAATTTTCAAGAAATTGCTACTGGAGAAAAAGAAGCCTCTAAGAGAAAGTTCAGTATGGATGCTGCATTGGAGGACAAGATTTGTGATCTCTATGACCTTTATGTTGATGTATTGTTTTTGCTTGCGATTCCTGTTGTGATAATCTGTTCTTTTTCTTTCTGAAGAAGCTTTTATCATAGTATATTGTTCTTTGATCTTTACTGCCTTTTGGTGTTAGGGGCTGGATGAAGATGCGGGTCCTCAAATCAGAAAGCTCTATGCAGAGGTATCTAATCCCAGTGTTTTTTGTTTTGTTTCTTTTTTTTTTTTTGTGTTTTTGTTTGTTAGTTTTGTTTTGTTTTGTTTTTTTTTTTTTAACTTATGTCATTTTCATGGGGTTTTCCTGACACGTTTAATCTCTTGTGATTCAGCTTGCTGAATTGTGGCCAAATGGTTTCATGGACAACCATGGGATCAAGCGAGCAATATGTCGTACGAAAGAGAGGCGCAGAGCACTATACAGCAGAAATAAGGTAGGTGGGTTTGTGAATTTCTCAGCAGAACAGGCCAAATGTTTTTGATTCTCTAACTCTTTTGTCGAGGGTACCCAAAATCTTAAGCTTTTAATTCCTGCATGGGTTTTTAGTTTCCTCTTTTTCATTGGTGCAAAAGCTCTGTGTATGTAGGTTTCCGGAACATGATAATGTTCGGACAGGGTTAATATGCATATCATGGAACGGGAATTTCCTAAATGACTCTCTAACTTCCTTTTATAAATTGTTTGGCACTGACGCTAGTTTTTAGACTTTGTGAACTTTTTATGGCATCAAACTTTTTGTTTGGAAGGAATGGCTTTTACGCTTTTGGAAAGAAAGGGATATCTCGTTTTCTTATATGCTCATGACTTTTTTCGCTGTTCAATCTTTAAAATTACCTGCATGCTGCATCCGCAGTTGAGTAAGGTGGTGCATTGTATTGATTAATATCCCTCTTATTTAATGTCAAAATGTCTTTGTTTAGGAACAGGAGAAAATCAAGAGGAAAAAGATGTTGGCCCTCAGATTAGAGGAAGGCATTCGAGTTGAGGCTAGTTCAATGATGCAGGCACAATACATGCGAGAAAGGCTGGTTACTGAATCTAGCAGTCATGGCACCGCGAACAAGCCTGTTTCCGCCACAACTGCTGCTGCGCGGATGCCCAGTCCATTAAATGTTCCTAGTTTTGACAAGCCAAAACAAGAGAAGCTCAAGGGAAGTTCAAGCAATTCCCTGGATGATGCAAGGGTGGGAGATGGTACCCTGACAAAGAAGAAGGTGAAGAGAAAGCCGGAGACAGAATCGGATGAAACTCGTTTCCGGCCGGAGAAGTTAACTTCCCAACAGGGGGAGGAAAGACAGAAGCCACTCAAGCAGGCTGCGAGTCTTCCACATAAACCAAACCTTCAATCCACTGTCCTTCCAAGCGTTGAACAATCAAGCTGACATGATATTATTAGCTCAATTAGGAAGTTCATTTTGACCATAAATTTGCTCTTGTAAGAAAGTTTTCATTTTTTTCGTCTCTGTTTTTTTTTGTCCTTTTCCATGGGTTGGCGTCATTCGTTCTGACCAACTTATTATACCATTTTTGTAATTAAATGTCATTCCGTGATGTATGGACTATATGTTGTTCTGATGATAGATATAGCAGAAAGCTTTAATTCCTTGTGCAAATCTAGACGGTGCGGTGTGAAAAACTGCACTGTACAAGCTAACATGGAACAATTCGTTACGAATTACGATTCTTGCCTGTGTCGTTCATTAGAGTTGTAATATTTTCTTTCTTCCTATCGTTTTATAGTATTGTCTTGTTACCTGTGTCGTTTCAAACATATATAGTAGTCAATTGGTACCCCTTCTGAATATTTTGTCGTAACATACCCCACTAATATAATTATATTATTATTTAAACAGAAAATAAGATAGTAAAATTCGCGTGATAAATAGTAAATAAAAAAAAGTGACAGAAAGAGTAATCTAGCATTTCTCTTTGAATATTTTGTCTTTCTTTCAACTCATCGTGTTTATTATAAATTAGTGGATTTATAATAAAGAGAAAATGTTAATAAATAGTCCATTTATGAAACTAAATGAAATGAGTAACAGATTTTAAAATTATTTAAAGTACATAATAATTTACCGCATAAATATTTTATTTACAATAAGTAAAAAGTTCTTTTCATTTAAGTTTTCTTTTTACAATTTTTTTCATGTAAAAAAAGATTTTTTACCACGTAAATTTTTATTTCCCGTTACATTGCTTCCATTGCAAAAGAGCTAAACTTTCGGGTCAATGACAGTTGGGGGCATTGATTAAATTTAGGTTATGCCGTTATGGAATGACGCAATTTAAAATTTGGGGCCAATGTATAATAAATGACATAGTTTGGGGTCGTTGATGAAAACTAGTAATGGAAGGAAAAGGAAAAACTGCAGTTTGTTAGTGTGAGTTCGTTAATGGGGGACTCAGACGATGGCAATGGAGTTGCCGGAATGCCCCGTCTGCCTTCAGAACTACGACGGCGACTCCACCGTCCCACGCGTTCTCTCTTGCGGGCACTCCGCCTGCGAATCCTGCCTCTCGAAGCTTCCCGAACGCTTTCCTCTCACCATTCGCTGCCCCGCTTGTACTCAGCTCGTCAAATTCCCTCCCCAAGGCCCCTCCGTTCTCCCCAAGAACATCGACCTTCTCTCTTTCTCTCTCCCCCCCAACCCTAACCCTAATTCTTCCACCTCCGAGGACAAGAGATCCCGAAAACTCGGTCGTTTCTACGATTTCTTGCCCCGGTTTTGGTCCGACGAGTTCTACGCCGCATGGAAGGACTGGGTCCTCCCGAACGACGCCGTTTGGGTCGAAGAAAGAGGAGCGAAAGCGCGGGTTTGGTTCGGAGAGGACAAAAAGGTGAGTCTTGGTCGGGTTGTTTCTTTGCCGGAATTGAAAGATTCGAGCTTTGAGTTTAGCTATGTCGTGAGGGTTATGAAGTGCTTGAGTGGGATGAAAGAGGAGGAGAGGAATGAATTGGGTTTGATTCTTAGATCAGGTTCAATGAGGAATTCTAGAAAGATTGGTAGAGTTTATGGCTTGTGGGGAAACTTGGATGATGGGTTTTTGTATATGGTATGTGAGAGAATGGATGGTGGGAGTTTGTTGGAGAAGATTAGTGATTTGAAAAATGAATTTTGTGGGGAGGAAGAAGAGGGTTTAAGTAAAATTGGGGTCTTTTCTTTTGCTTTGATTGGCCTCGAAATGATTGAAGCAGTAATGGGTTTGCACTCTGAAGGATTCATTTCAGGTTTTTTTGGTCTCTCGTGCTTTAGTTTTGATTGCTTTGGTCATGCTTTTGTAGATATGAATGAGGTTTTGGTGACGGGACGGAAGATTTGGAAGAGAATTGCTGATGCTGTTTTTGGTAGAATGAGAGTTGATGATCAAGAACTGGAAGGGGCAATCAGTGATCTGTCGAAAGATAATGTTTTTTTGAGTCCTGAGTTGTTGCTTGAATTATTGCACAAAGAGGGTGTTGTTCTAGAGAGTGAGAAGTCGAGATATTCGTTTGGATACGGTTCAGATATATGGTCATTAGCTTGCCTATTGTTGAGGCTTCTTCTTGGAAAAACGTTTACCGAGGAATCTCAGAAGATGATAAAAGAGAATAATTCTGATTATTTAGCACTGTATTCAATTTGGCCTGAAAGAGTTGGTTCTTTGTTGGATACTCAGTTGGGGTCGGAATATGCAGCACTTAAGGATATTCTTTTGAAATGTTTGATCTATGATCCAGAAAGTCGTCCACTCTTGAATGAAGTGAGGAAGTGCTTTAGGGAAATAATAATTAAACCTCAATCTGATCTGGCCAATTTAGATGGGGCTGTTGATGGGGAGAGCACCAGTTTTTGCATAATTCTAGGGGAACTGTGTAAGTTGCCCAAAGAAATGTCTCAAACTCGGAAAGAAGGCAACGTGCAGGGAATAGAAGCAAGTAGTGAAGCAGATTTTGGTCAAATAAAGGCGGAGAGAGTTGATAAAATTTTTGTTGAGGTTCTCTTGGAGGGAGTGGTCAAATCCAAGGATTTGCAAGGTCATTGTGACTGTATCACAGGAATAACCATCGGAGGTATAATTTGCAGTGCTTTTAGGATTTACATGTGATGCGATATTAGTATGCTATCATCTTAAGAGACATTGTTCTGGCCATCTCTTTTTGGGCCAATACGCTCTCCATCTTGTCATGCATCATGGTTCGTCTTGTGTCCAACATCAGTAGGACAAGTGGAAAGAGAAAAAAACCCTTCCAACCAACAGTTGGAAATGCTTTGTCATTATCCTTGACACGACTTCCAGTTTGTTAATGGAATGCCCGATTAGCGTTAGGCTTATTTAGTTTCTGGTGTTTAGGCCTATTTGTTGAATCGATGGGATGCTAATCACATCTCGTTTGCTCTTCTGCAGGAGGTTTTCTTTTCAGCTCCTCATTTGATAAAACAATCCGTGTATGGTCTTTGCAGGTTTGCGCCTTAATTGGCCTGTTTTTATTTTACGCTTTTAGAGTAATACCATATTAAGTCCTATATTTTTCATGTAAGACAAATTTGTCATTAATGATGGTAATTCCAAAGTGATTTCGAAGTGCGTAAAAACAAACCTACATTTCTAACCGAGCAGATTCTCCATGTGTCTATGATCTATCACGTTTAGTTTGTTCATTGTTGATACTTCAAAATGTACCAAGTAGTAGATTGTTGAAATAGTATACTTCAATAACAATCTTTTTTCCTCCTTATCTTTTGATTGTGAATTTCCTCTTTCTTATTTTTTCCAAATAAGCTTCTTTAATGCATTTTTATGCAGGACTTCTCTCATGTGCATACATTTGAAGGTCATGAATATAAAATTATGGCTATAATTTATGTGGATCAAGAGCAACCCTTGTGCATAAGTGGTGATAGTGGAGGTGGTATATTTGTATGGGCAATTAGTACCCCTCTTGGGCAAGAACCATTAAAGAAATGGTATGAGCAGAAGGATTGGCGCTACAGTGGTATTCATGCCTTGTGCTTTTCTAAAAATGGATATGTGTACACAGGAAGCGGAGACAAGTCGATAAAAGCATGGTTGTTACAGGTATTGACTTGGATTTATTAATCTACTTCGGTTATGAGTTTGCATATTCGCAGATGTCATATTTGATTACTTTTATCTCTATAGTTATCCATTTAATATTATTTTAGGATGGTCTCCTCGCATGCACCATGAATGGTCATAAATCAGTAGTTTCCACACTCACCATATGTGACGAGGTCCTCTATAGTGGCAGTTGGGATGGAACCATCAGATTATGGAGTCTTAGCGATCACACTCCCTTGACTGTTCTGGGGGAAGACACATCTGGACCTGTGACCTCTGTCTTGTCTCTGTCCCTTGATAGGCATATGCTGATTGCGGCTTACGAAAACGGGTGCATTAAGGTTCTTGTACTTTGAACCTTACTTGAACTGGTTTTATATGTGATGTAGGCTTACTAGGGTGATTTTGGACTTCACATTGGAAACAGTATTAAGTAGATCTTTCAGGTTCTGATTTAATGATATAAAACTTACAGGATTTGAGCTTGGGATACGAATACTGATACAAAATAGAAATATTGGCACAGTTATAGCCTAAGACAGTGTACATAATTGATTGTCTTCATCAATAAAGAAACATTTTGTGTTTGGATTTTCGTTTTCAGGTCTGGAGGAACGAGGTGTTTATGAAATCAATGCAACTTCACAAAGGTGCAATTTTTGCTACTGGCATGGAGGGAAAATGGCTTTTTACAGGAGGCTGGGATAAAACTGTCAATGTACAGGTACATGTGCAAATGATACTATTCCTTTGGAACATTAAAGCTGATTTAATAATTATCCTGGTTAAGAATTTGAACAATTTCATAATGACTTTTGATAAGCAGGAATTATCCGGAGATGACATTCATGTGGATCCTAGACCAATTGGATGTATTCCTTGCGGTTCTGTTATAACAGTTTTATTATTTTGGCAAGGAAAGCTTTTTGTTGGATCTGCCGACAGGCTTGTTAAGGTATGACTCAATTTTGTTCTTCAAGTATGTACACGAGTATTCGGGGCTCTCTCTTCCACTGCTTGACAGTCGACGGTGCTTCAATATTCCCATGAGAATGAGGATGTTAAATATTATTAACACAAAATTATATTGGCTCTATTACAGAACTGATAAGTGTTATTGTTTCTACTAGCATACTGATACCTTATAGTGGCATTTGATGAAAGAAAATGCATGTTAACAAAAACGCATCTTGTGACCGCTTTCCGTTTCTAGGCCATTTCAGAGGAAGATGGTTTCTTTTCCTTTGATGCTTTCTGTTAAGAATCCCCTTTTGCTTGCTTTGTGATGGGTTCTGAATGGTGAATTCGTTTGATGCTACAGGTGTATTATTGTGGAAAATGACTTGAGCTTCTCATCTCATGCCATGATTGTGCATGAAGTGCCAAGCCAAACCTAAGATCTCCTGCAGTTGTTGAGTAGTGAAAATGCGATGACAAAGAAGCAGCCTTGTTTCAACTCCCTCGTGCATTTATGGCAGTCATTGAACTCCAGAATGTTGGACACAACTCCAGATCCGGAGCTTCCAGAAACTCGATAAAAAAAAAAAGTTTATACGACACTATACTTTCTGTTCATAGAATGCTGATTTTTGTAAAGTATTCAAATCAATTTTGATTTGTAGTTGCAATACTTCTGTACAAACGGATTGTACATTTTACAAGTTAAATATGCTGGTGTTTGGATAGTATTTGTATATTGCTACTGTTGAATGGATCACTAGCTATGGTGCACAAATCATCGCCTAGGGAGTAGAAACCTCGTACAGTTAACGAATTATATAGCTCTATTGTTTGAGCTCATATTATATTAAGAACATACTGTTATCACCAACTTTTCAAATGGACTAATGTGGCAAATAAATTGTCATTTTCAATTGATTAAATGATAGTCCACTCATCGTACATTTCGTACCATTAATAATAATAATCAATTGGCATTTTTTTACCCTATCAAATAATTCTCTAAAAACAAAAAACCATGTGCCAACATATTTATGCACACAATCTTTTCTTCATTCAATCAAGAGAATTCATTGGTAGAATATAAAAAATACTATTAGTAAGGATATAATTTTTAACCGTCACATTATCTTTAAACATTAAATCAAATTAGAATCATCTCGGGTCAAATAAAATATATTATTGTTTACTAAATAACAATATTTTAAATGATTGAATTGTTTAACAGTATGTTCTCTTTTAGTATTTTATATTGTATTGATAATTTTTCGTTTCATGCTGTTTTCTGAATGCCGTTTGTTAGTGAAAAACTATATTAAGCCACGTGATAGTTTGTCGTTTACAAAAAACGACGTAATTAAACTCGTTTGTCACTTATTTAACAAACGACATCCAGTTTTACCTTTTAATTTAGCGTCTTTTCTTTTTCTCTGGCAACCGAACTATAAAAATTCAGGATAAAAAATGGACTACATGTCGTTTATGTTAAACGACGTCGTTAATTTCGTGTCCTTTCTTTTGAAAACATGCATTCAGAATAATTTCAGTGTTCAAAAAAGAAAGGAAAAAAGAAAAGAAAAGAAAAGAAAAGAAAAAGAGGCTCTTATACATGTCCTGTCTGCTTAGCAAGTAATGCTAAGCGAGTATTATGCACAAAATCCATAAAAATCGTACCATCAAAACACTCACACATGACATATATATATGTAATGAAAAAACTACTCGAAGAGGAATAATTTCCAGCAAAAATTAAAAAAAGACCAAACAATTACAGCAAATAATAAAAATAATAATATAATAACAATAATGACAGTGATAATATATAATAATAACAGAGAGAGAGGATTGTATCAATCATATATATATATATATATATATATATATGACATTAACGGGAAGCATACCAACTTTAGAAGTCCGTATATATAGTTAGCGCATCACGTTTAAGTGCAATATTAGATGACACACCAAGTCCTTAGTGCTTATGACAAGTTTTTAATCACTCTTACTACTTAAACAAGCTTATAATCCTAATTAATTACTCACCAAAGGATGATTAGCATCAGGAATGCTATATATATATATATATATAATACGTATTACATCCCTTGGAGATTTGGCTGCATAGGCTGCACGTGAAATGCATAAGGCAAGGGATTGTAGTCCCTCATCTTATCATTATATCGGCCATTATCCATGCCTTGACCTTCCATCTCCATTTTGCACTGTCATATATACATGCCAAAGCAAATAGTTACAAACTTAATGCACATAAAAATATGATCAGATCGGTACTTTACGAATAAATTAACCATATATATATATATATATAGAAGCTTATATACGAAGATATATATAAAGGAATAATCAATAAACATATGTATAGAGTACTATAATCAATATATTTACATATATATAGTATATACGTAAGTATATTTTCTCTTATCATTTTGGACATACCAGCTCATAAGTGAGGCGCTTATTCTCCGCCCCTAGAATCTTATCCTGCACATGTATTTGTCGGTAATTAAGTTGATATATATATATATATATATATATATATTACATACTTGTCTAATTTCAAGATCACATGGTGAAAAGATATAATATAGCACAATATAAGCGAATGAAATACATATATGTGAAAAAGAAAAACTAAGTTAAATATATAAAAAGCCGAGAAATCAGCAAATTTCTTCCACATACTTTTTGTCTAAGATGGTCGAGGAAGTCCGCCTGTCATGGAAAATAGCGAAAAAAAAGAAGAAGAAATATTAGACCTTTTTCATGGCCTAATATATATAATATATATATATATATATGTCCAAAAAAATTACCAAGAATGTTCAAAATTAACAACGCTAACCTAGGGGGTAAATACTTGCCTGTGCAGCACGGACACTTGTAAGGCCATTTTCAAGTGTTCTCTCTAGACCAATAAGCTCTCTGATGTTCAAAGATTGAATTTCCTGCCCTTTCATGTGTCTAGAGAACATAATATATTTATATACTTGAATTTAAATAAGCTATATATATATATTTATACATATATATAGAGATCTGTGGATCAGCGGAGAGAGATGTGTAAAATATATACCTCAGATCGATTTCCATGTTCTCATTTTCTTTCTTCGTCATATCAATCTCATTGTTGAGGTTCTGCGAGAGTACAAATATATATATATATATATATATAAAGTATTATATATACAGTTATAAACCCCAATGAAAAAGCTGAATATATATATATATATATGTATATGTACATATATAATATGTTGCAAAACTCATGAAATAAAGTTTCCAGATCTGATGTATTTGTATGCAGTTTCTATATATGCTTTTACTTCGGAAAACCTAGTGGGTAAGAAGATACACACACACACACACACACACATATATATATTAAACAAGAAAGGACGTTTGTTGTTTAAATATATTATATTATATGCCTGTAGTGAAACTTGCTAGAACATACCTATATATTGAGGTTTCTCAACTTTTGCAAGAAAAGGGAAGGGAGAGAATACCATTTTCTTACCAGATCCGTTCATCGATGTTACATACCGTCCAGATCTATAGCTATTATCTTTGATTCTCACCAAAAAAAAAATTAATAAATAGCAAGTTCGGAGCTTGGAAAGTACATCCTATTTGTAGATCTGTTCGTAGAAATCATGTTTCATGTTTTTAAACATATTTTTAGCCAAAATTAAAAAACTGCTCAATATTTGTCCTTGAAACGAGCAAGAACAAATAACTAACAGATCATATAAATTCTTTTAAAAGTTTTAAAATTATGAGAAAATCTTATCATAAATTCATTAAATATACTCACTTCATGCTTGACATCCCATAACTTCTGTCCTGAAAGCCTTTGATATTCCTCCAAAATAAAACTCAACCTTCATCACAACCAAAACAAAAATCATCAAAACTTTGCTTCATCATATGGCCAAAAAGGAAAAAAAAAAAACGTACAAAAAAAAAAATCCAAACTAAAAAAAGCAGAAAATTAATATACGCGCACACGAAATTTGGTCAAGAAAAAGATATATAGATTATATATATATATTTATTTACGTACGAAGTGGTAGGACTGCAGTAATGTTCAGGCGCCTTGCTGCTGGAGGTAGAGATGATAATTGAAACCTTAGCATCACACAGAACACTTATCTCGCTTGCCTTCTTAATTAATCCTTTCTTCCTCTTTGAGAGCGTCACATGCCTGTTGGTTGAGTTCTCAATTCTTTTTATCTCTATCTTTCCTCTCCCCATCTTTTTGCCTTACTTTGATCTCTCTTCTTCTCTTTCCTCCTCCTCTTCTTCTTCTTCTTCTTCTTCTTAGTTATATACATATATATACATATATATATATATGTATATATATATAAAAGATGAGCTGAAAGAGTAGAGAGATAAGAAAGAAGCAACAAAAGAAAGCTATTTCCAATATGGGTTTGGAGGTTCGGAGGCTTTCTGAGTGGCACAGAAAGGTAGGGTTTGTTTATGGGTAAGTCATCATAATGCCAAGCCAACTTCCTTTAATCTGGTGTACTTTTGGTTTGCGTTTTGTTAACCTTTGGTGTTTTTTTCTCTTTGTGTCTCTTTATTATAAGTTTTGATGGTTTTTTAGGGTTTCCTTTGATGGTTAAATTATGGGGAACAAGCAAAGTCTTGGGGTGTGTTTGATACTTAATATAGTGAGGAACAATATCTTTTCTTGTTTAGGGCATTGAAGTCCGTGATGGTCTTTTAGAACGAGAATTACGACATGATGTTTTAGTTTATTAATCCTAACAACCTATCAAATCATTTTCAAAATGTTTCTTTTCCCCCTTAATGAATGTGAACAGTACTGGTTATTAATGGTAATCAAACAAAAAAGTAAAGGGATCATGTGTATAAATGTATAGTATTTCTCTTTTCTCTTTCTAGTTAATTGAGAGATATTGCGTTTTGTTAACCTTTGGTGTTTTTTTCTCTTTGTGTCTCTTTATTATAAGTTTTGATGGTTTTTTAGGGTTTCCTTTGATGGTTAAATTATGGGGAACAAGCAAAGTCTTGGGGTGTGTTTGATACTTAATATAGTGAGGAACAATATCTTTTCTTGTTTAGGGCATTGAAGTCCGTGATGGTCTTTTAGAACGAGAATTACGACATGATGTTTTAGTTTATTAATCCTAACAACCTATCAAATCATTTTCAAAATGTTTCTTTTCCCCCTTAATGAATGTGAACAGTACTGGTTATTAATGGTAATCAAACAAAAAAGTAAAGGGATCATGTGTATAAATGTATAGTATTTCTCTTTTCTCTTTCTAGTTAATTGAGAGATAATTAGGATAATGTATGTAATTAAAATGCTTTAAAAAAAATACTTCAAATGTACATTTTAATGACAAAGTTAAAGATTGTTGGAATGAATAACTAATAAACCATTGTGACAAGATTGGACAAGATTGTTATTGTTGGAATGAATAGCTAATAAATCATTGTGAAAAATTAAAACTATTTGTGAGGGAGTAGAAACGATAAATAGTGAAACAATTATAAACTCAACTTCTTTTATTTAATGAATAGTAGGCCTTCATAGCTTTGCTACCAACTTTTAAACGGACTATTACGCATGGCAAGTAACCTATTATTTTTCAATTGACTAAATGAAAGTTGGCATAATAATTAGCAACTGTATTGTCACGACAGTAAATTTTAATTCTCTCTGTTTCTTTAAGCATGTAATAAAAAGTTTTAAAACGGTAATGGAGGCGCGCAAAGGTTTCCTCGAGTCACGCTAAGATTGGCCCTCGAACGCAAAGGCAAAAGGGAGCTTGACTGCAAGACCCACCCGTTGAGTAGGGGACGAAAGTCAGTCTTAGTGATACGATGGTGTTGGGTGGAAGGGCCGTCGCTCAACAGATATAAGTTACTCTAGAGATAACAAGTTGATCTTCCCCAAAAGCTCACATCGACTGGAAGGTTTAACACCTCGATATCGATTCTTCGCCGCCTGGGATTGTAGTATGTTCCAAGAGTTAGATTGTTCATCCATTAAAGCGGTACGTGAATTGGATTCAAAATATCATGAGACAGTTTAGTCTATTTTCGATGCGGGGAGTTAGAGCATTGAGAGGACCGTTAGAGCATTGAGAGGATCGTTCCCTAACAGGAGAGGACCGGTAACCTATTTTTTTTGAAACTCGAATAATTAGGTAAGATTTCATGATAGTGTTATTTAAGTTAATAATAAATAGTGTAATTTGTTTCTTAAAAATAACAATATTCTATAAACAAACTCAAGATATTGGTTTACTAGACTATTTTGGGTTTTTATTTTATTTTACTTTCATTTTTTACGAGCTTAGCCTAAAAATTATTCTACATATATGTCTGATATTGTTGACGTTTAGAAATCAGACCTTTCCATTATCAAATGCAAATAATGAAAAAAAAAAAAACCTTTAACAAAAGCCCCTTTTTCTGATTTATTTTTCATCCCATGTTCTTTTTTGAACTAATGTCCCTTTCAAAAACGACATGTCGTGACATGTTGTTGTAAAGGCTAATGTTGCTTCTGAACCAATGTATAGTTTGTAAATGCGGAATGGCATCTTTGTAAACGATACCAAATTTTCATTTTAAAAGTTAGTAGAGCTTTTTGTCTGAAACGACATACCTTTCATCGCTCGTGTTAAAGTTTTAAACGGGTGTAGGTAATTACTTACTCACCGCCTTCGTAAAACAACTAAGTTGTGTTTGAAGTTGTTTTTATTTTTATTTTTTACGTTTTTTTGAGAAAAAAAGAAAACGGGACAGAAATAATGTTTGATACAATTAAAGATAAAAAATAGAAATGAAAATTATTTTTTAGTTTAGTGTAAAATGAGAGAGAAATAAAAAATGACTTTTAGTCGTTTTTCATTTTTTGTTTCTGTTTTCTCCCCCCTCGAACAGAGAGAGAGACATTAATAAATTTTTTATACTGAAAATAATCTTTTGATAAAATTACTGAACGCATTTTCAAAAATAATTTATGTATGAGATTGAAAACGTTTTAATTTTTATTTTTATACAAAAAATAAAATCATTTTGAAACGAATTTTAAACGCACAATTAAGACCAATGTCGTTTCTTAGTAAACTGTCCTTTACGTATCTATAAGGACGACGCGATGAACCCGCAGGATTGTTTGTCGTTCACGGCGTAACGACTTTACTAATTTTGATGTCGTTCCCACGAAGTTTTCACTCTAAAAGTTATTGTCGTCGTTTATTCTAAAGATGGCACTCCTGTTTCCTCGTTTACATTAAACGACATGAACTTGGTTAAAAAAAAAAAAAAACCACTTAACGGCAAACGATTCTGATCCTAGATGATCCATTTGGAGTGAAAGGAGTCATAAAAAGAAATCAATCCTTCCCGCCTTTTGTTCTTGGCGGCTAACCTAACCTTTACCAAAATCAAGAGATTCGTGGATTAAAATTATTTCTAATTTATGTATATAAAAAATATTATAATGAATTACGAATTATAATTTGAATCAGAAAATGAATAACATCCCCAAATGCGCTCGTCGCAGTCATCGGATTAGAGAAAGAGAGAGAAAAATCCCCAAATCGAATCGAAACCTCGGAGAAGCTCTGGAAACCTCTTGAATTCCTCTTCCGAAACCCCTCGAACTCGAGATCGGTCGTCGAAGATGCTGAAGGCGAAGGCATTCAAGGGAGCCAACGTTTTCATGTCGCGGAAGCTCGTTCCGCCGGAGATTTTCGACGCCCTTCACGACGCT